TACAAACAGTAATAAAGTAAAATAAATAAAAGAGATATCCCATTCTGTTTTGATATAATTAAAGTAGATGATTCACCTAATGTATTAGAAATGTACTAGATACATGAAAAGATGTGAATAAGTGTTAGTTTCCCTTATATACATACTTATTCAAATGAATCAAATTTCTCACCCTAGGCACACTTAGATAAGGAAAATGTGTTGTGGTGCTGTTCAGTATAGTAGAGAATAAGCAGAACCCTTGGCCCCTGCCCAATCCCTGCCAATACCCTCCTTCTCACTGCCATACACACATCTATTACAGCCTATAGTATTCTCTAGATACTGTGCCATGGGCTATGCATACTAATGGGCCAAGAAATTAAATGCCTAAGTGTATTTTGGTATGGTGACTGCTTTGACTTAAGTAAATTTGGAAAGGTGAACAGAAGTCTAAATGATAAAACAATAACCCACACTGTGCACAAAAAGTAATTCACAGCATGCCATCCACCTACTAAAGACATAATGCTCTTATAAAAAGAAAGTAAGAAAATAAAATTACCGGGGCTTTTGGAATTGAAAAACAGTGCCAGCCTGGAATAGCTTTGCAGCCTCAGTTTTTATTAAAGATTTTCTTTGTAGGGGCATATTTAATTTCTGAAACTGGGAGAAATTCCCTTACGGTTTTGTGTGTGTGTCAATTATCCCTCCTACACGTCAGGTAGGAAAGATCTCTTTCGCCTGTCAAAAACTGCCATGGCATATTGGTGGGAGATCTTACATTCAAACATAATGCTAACAGCATTGTTTTTTTATCTAAGGTAGCTCATCACTCATCATACGTTCACAAACTGTTCTTCCAAGGTCTCCTATAGAGTGTGACTTGTACCAAGCCATTTTCTTGCCTAATCATTTCCAACAGCCTTCTCTGCACAAAAACAACTGAGAGAGAATCTCAGTCAGAAGAATAAAAAGAAAGAGAACAATTGTTCCTTTGAGATGGAGGGATTCTCTGAGAGTCAAGATAGCTCCTGGCTTTATTAGAATTATCAAGACATTAGTCCATGGTATGTATTAGTTTCATAGAAACTCTTACAAGTACATTTCATGTAACTTTCAACTTCTTTATATGCACTATATGCATATAAAGTGTATATATCTAGAATCTCCAACTCAACTTTCCAAGATTGGGTTTCTATGACACTTAAAATAGCAAAATGAGCTCACAGGTACTGAGGAAGAGAGCTCAAAGGCAACATGGGATCTGTCACAAAGTGCTTGACTTAAGCACATCTCAAAAAATTATGTTTGGGAATTTTCTCATCAAATCCTGAGTCTTCCTGTAAGGTACAGCCAGTCCCCTTGAATCCATTTGACTTTATGCATAACACTTAATGGCTCTCATATGGCTTCTACCTAGAAAAGTTATCTAATCTCAATAAAAATGAACTTAAATTCCAATTACAAAAATTAGGATCTTTTGAAAATCTAAAATTGTTATAGTTTCATTTTTTGTTGCAGAAAATCAATTTTTAAAAAAACTTGCCCACCCATGGCTCAGGGACCATTGTGAAAGAGGGGGGCAGAAAGACTGTAAGAGCCAGCATTGGTGCATGAACATAAGGAATCAGAGGCTTTCAAGCCTCTGGGAACTTGCTAATGAACTTGCTACAATGATGACAGCAAGTACAAGACCCAAGAGGACTCAATCAGACAAAAAACCCAGCAGAGAATGGGGGAAATGGGCAGCAGGCCCCAACCCTAGCCAAGGAACTATTAGCAAATGATTACTGTGGGGTAAGAGAGAGTAAATCTTCATTAAAGGGACTGAATCTAGATAGGCTAACTAGACTTCAGTAGATGAACTTGCACCAAGGGATATCTGGATACAAATGCTTGACTGATAGGACTTTACATATATGACAGAATACCTTAAATCTGGTGGGAGGCTAAGAGAGTTGGGGAGGGGAGAAAGGATCTAAATTTGGCTAAGATATATTGTATGAAATACACAAACCTCAGTAAATTAAAGTTAACCATTTTAAACCAAAAAATACAAGGTTTCTTTCCAATCCAGTTTAGAAGAGGTCACCTACCTCCAAAGAACAAATAAAATTTTTTTAATATTTCTTTATTTTTATTTTATGTATATGAAGGCATTGCCTGCATGTACGTAAGTGCACCTGTGTCATGCAATGCCCCTGGAGGTCAGAAGAGGGCATCAGATGCACTGGAACTGGAGTTACAGACAATTGATAGCCATTATGTGTGTGCTGGAATTCAAACCCAGGTCCTCTACAAAAGCAGCCGGTGCTCTTAACCACTGAGTCCTCTCTCCAGCCCCACAAATAAAAAATTGAGAGAATAACTCTGAGCTAAGAATATCCTAAAGCTACTCAATTCTACCACTGCAGCTGGTGCAGATTCCTAATGTTCTACACTTGATCTTAACAAAAGACAGACATGTGATGCCCTAATGATTACATGTTAGGATTGACTCTCTCACCATTGTAGCAAAAATGTCATTCCTTCCCGGGTAATCATTCTTCTTGTGTTCTTAAATGGGAAGCTGCAGTTTCACCTTTATGACCCCCTCAAAAAGCAAAAACTTCCTAATAGCAACCTCTTTAAGTACTTATGGTATTGCACTGAGGACCCAGGTCCTCTGCAAGAGCAGCCAGTCCTCTTAATCACTGATCCATCTGTCCAGCTCCAAAA